TTATAAGCTCCAAAAGTATGGGGAATTGCATATAAAGTTGCAACCAGAGCAAATCTACTCAAATAAATAAATGTAGGATAAATTTACATCTGTAACACTCAACTTCTATGTATTTACATATCTAACACATGAACTACAATTTTTACATATATACTACCCCTATTTACCTGTGAAAAAACGTATTTCACTTCTTAAAGGTTAAAATAATGATATTTTTAGTGGTATAAATATGAAAGATTTGGATGAGTTAAGTATAAGAAATTTAGGAGTTAGATGTGTAAATGCATAAAAATTGGGTGGTATGTATGTAAATTACTCAAAATAGCCAAAGTATTTTTTCTGAAGTTTCGACATTTTCTTTTTGCCCCTTAGATTTTGTCCATTTCCAAAAATAACCCTAATGTCGTCGCAGTTTTCCCTCTCGGAAAGAACGGGTTTGGGTCCCACTTAGCTGTTAGGACGATGTGAATTGGTACCCAATGAGATCCGAATTTTCGAAAATAACCCTGGAACCGGTCAAAATGGCCAGCATGGGATGGGATGGGATGGGATGGGATGGGCCGGGCCGGGCCGGACTGACCGGGAATGGGAATGGGAATGGCCCCGCAGCAGGTTGCAGGCAACCAACCCGAGATGGAGCTTAGCGGTTTGGCACTTGGCAGGGGTGAGGGAGGGTTTGTCTCGCTAGTGTTTGATGTTGTCTTTTTGGAGCTGCTCACAGAGCGAGTTCTGGAGCTTTTTATCTTTTTAATATTTATTTACTCTTTAAATAATTCATTATATGTTTATAATGTGTGGGTGAATAATGAAGTTATGAAAGTATTATACTATTAGATACATGCACACTCAAACAAGAACACAAGATTTTTTTTGCCAAAAATTCTTTGGTTGAATAGTCCGTCTACCGAATCAGCTAAATCGAGTCACATGCTAAAGCGGTTGAATCAAGCCCACCTGTCGAAACAGCTGAATCAAGCTTACTTGTCGAAGTAGCCGATCTAATAATTTCGTCCTTCCTCGGGAGAATAACCTAGTGTGCCTATAGAGGAGGGGGGGGGTGGAAATTTAAGGAAGTCATTATGATAAAAAAAAAAACACTGTTCAATCACTCATTAAAGATGTCGTCCAACACCAAGGACTCAATCCCTTCACCCATACACAAGAGATGGTTGTCGTACATACAATATATGATATTAGTCCACAATACGTACCATTGATATCACATTATTTTAATCAAGATATTATAGAATGGCATCATGTAAATACAAATATGTACTATGTTGGCCAAATTAGGAGTTGTTCCTCATATGCAAGAAGAGTGAGAAAAGGGAAAGGATCCATCTCCATCCTCTCCAAAGAAGGCTCTTTATGGATCTTTGAGGAGTCGCCTCCTCCCAACTTATCGAAGATCTCAAATTAACACATTTCTCAACTTATGCTTAAAATGCATCAGCACTAATTTCAAGGAATTCAATGGGCTAAGAGATAAAAGTATGGTCAATGATGACCCAAAGAAGGAAGATCAAGGGTCACATCAACGAAAGACTAAAATACATGATGGATCTATTACAACACCCTTGGAGCAAAGACCTAGAGTTGACCGAATGAAGGTTGCCCAAGTTAATGATCAAGACCCATTGTACCGAGAGAAGACACCAATCCAACTCTTATTCCAACATCACCGACTGCCTCGTAAGATTCTCTAAGACTCTTAAGGAGTCCTAAAGTTCTCACCATGGTACACTTTGTGAACGCTCGAGATGGAGTTCCTATCAAGGGGTATGATAACGTAGTCTCATTCTAGCGACATGAGCTTTTTACTTAGGGGTTGAGAGTCGACATCCTGACCAAAAATTCAACCGGTTGACTCAAACTGATCGAGCGTAGTTCGAACCACCAAAGGTTAGTCAGACTAAATCAGCTTCCACAATTAGCAATGTTGGCTGAACCGGCCTTACCGATCTAAGGATCAGTTCTTCAGTCTGTTAGTCATCAAAGAATTAGTTCTTTATTTCTCTCCTCTATATATCTCTCTCCCTCTATCTTTGTCCCTCCATGTTCTACGCTCAATTCCTTATGTGTGATTCACATGGCAGATTCATACTCAACACTCAAGATCCCTTCAAATGAATCTCGTCCATCTCTCTCTCTCTGGCATTCTTCTAGTGATACAAGATCTTTTATCGGATTATATGCACTCACGAACAATATGAGGCTCTCAATACCGATAGTTCATACTACATATCATCAGTAAATTTTAGAATTGTCATTTTTTAAGTGAATCATTCTTATATGGCAGAGCATTAAGTACATTTATGAGCATTTACATGCAAATTTATGATTCTAAAAAACTAGAATATAATGATATTCTTTTAAAAATAGAAGAGTAGACACAACCCAAAAAATACGAGAATGCAACAAAATAATGAGTTGCTATTATATAATTTTTTTGCTTAGCAACAAGTGAGGTCATTCTAGACCTAAAATAGCTAGTGATGTCACACAAATATGAAATGCCAATTTGGAATCCAAAGCAACACATAGATAACTTAACATTTATTCTAAAGATTCCCTCAAATACAATACTTCTAACATAATTTTCATTCTTTTAGTTCAACTAAGAGCATTTTTAATGCATATAATTTTATAATTGGGGCATTTACATGCATACCACAGAATTCTCATGTATTTACATCTCTAACACCTCTACTAGAAATAGCACTATCATCAAGCTTTATAAGTGTTAGATATGTAAATACAGAGCAATTGTGTGGTATGTATGTAAGTTTCCCTTCTATTTATTTTTATTTTTTGGCTCCCTCTCTGAGTGAGGAAGGCAAAAAGACAAAGAACAAAAGAGTTGAATGAAGATGTCCATAAGAGCTGATGTGTATGGGAGCTACAAACACATGGAGTTGAAGAGATAGGGGATGAATAGTTCTTCACAGCTCAACTACTGTGTTATTGCAAGCCAATTTTAGACCTCTGTCTGTATGTGTTTGATATGAATCCTCTTTAATGACATTAAGAATTGCAAGGGCAGTTTGGGAACACATTTATTTTTTTTATTTTGGTTAGATTTTGATTTAAAATAAAATATATTTGATATGTTTAGTTAAAGTTTGTGTGGAATTAATTTTATTTTTATTTTTTATTATTTATTATTTTTAAAAACATATTTTTTTAATGAATTTTAATATATTATATATATATATATTTTTTTATAAGAATAAATAAACACGTTTTTAAAAATAGCTGATATTTTTTATGTATTTTGAGTGTTTTTAAATATCTTAATCAAACATGTTATACATGATTTACTTTAAATCAATACATAAACAAAACAAAATTAAATTAAGAAAAAAAGAAAAGAAAAAATAAAAAAGATCTCGAACGGCCTCTTAAAATTTCGTTGTTTTTAAAAAAGCTTAGAATACCTAAAAGTTGTTTTTGGGGCATTTTTTAAAATTATTTATTTATTTTTAGAAATAAAAAATAGAAATATATTAAAAGAACATTAAATAAATATATTTTTAAAAATAAAAAATAAAATTTATCCCGAACAAGCAAATAGGGATTCAATTACCTTTACACAAATCCTTTAATTCGTCTTTAGATTATTAAGATTTAATTAATGTTTGAGTGAATTGATTAATTTTTATGTCAGGCTCAAATTTACATGCAAACCCAAATTTTTATCAAATTTAACCTAATGGCTATTATATTTATGTTAAATGGGCTTTGATATTGGGTTTAGATTAGTTCGTTCAAGCGAAAATTGACACACTTAATAATAATCAATAACAACAACAGCAGCAACAATAACAACAAACTTTTATCCTAGTAAATGAAGTGAGCTACACGAATCTTTTTCCTCCATTGAATCCTACTGAGTGTCATATTTTCATTTAATTCTAATAGATTAAGATCATTTTTCATACAATTTGCCCAAGTTTTATTAGGTCTATCTACGTCATTCTTAACATAAGTCGAATCTAAAACAACTACTCTCCTAACAGTATCATCAGATGATCGGTGTTTACTGTGACCAAACAATCTAAGACATCTCTTTTTAATCATGTTCGTCACTTGAGCTACACCAACCTATTACAGATATATTCATTTTGCATTTTGTCTTTTAAATGTCAAACCACTCATCCACCTAAGCATTTTCATCACAACAACACTTAACTTTATTTTATGCTTCTCTTTTAAAGCTCAACATTATGCGCCATAGAGCGTTGCATGTCTCATCACATCTTATAAATTTTTCCTTTCAGTTCGAGCATTACTTTGCCATCACACGATAGGCCTGATGCATTCCTCCACTTCAACCGACAAACTTAAATTGAACTCACAACATCCTCATCTATATCACCACCACTTTAAACTATAGTCCCAAGATATTCAAAATGATCACACATTTTATTGATTCAATCACCCATAATTACAACTCTGCCACTAGAGCTGCTACTACTAGAATTACATTCCATGTATTTAATTTTAGGTCTACTCAAACGAAGGCCTTTAGACAAATTAAATTAAATTCAAGACCGAAGCACGACCTATTAACCTGATTAACACGACTCTAAACCTAAATAACATAACAGCCTCTGCTGCTCAAATATATTTGTTTCACCACACAAATTTTTCCTTACCAAATACCACCAAGCTCCTATTTCTGAATCTCTTATAGAGCTTGGCATTGGCAATATTAAAACCCAAAAGGGGTATTTACATAAATATCACCCAATTCTTATGTATTTATATACCTATCGTAAACTTTAAATTTTACATTCATGCCGCCCAAATCTTTCATATCACATCAAAAATACCACCATTTCAAATTAAAAAAAGCAAAATACGACTTTTCATGCAAGGACAAGGGGGCGTGTTATGTAAAAATTGAAGTTCGGGCATTAGATATGTAAATACATAAGAATTGAGCGGTATGCATGTAAGTTTCCCAACCCAAAAATGTTTGCAAGCTTATCAGCCCCTCTTCCCAGTAGAAGTTCAACTTTACTAATGGATTCTTAACATACAAAAATAAACAAAAAAGCACAAAATGAATAAAAATCATTGTTTTTAACTAAGGAATCAAAGCTTAACTTCGACATCAACACCGGCCGGAAGATCAAGCTGCATGAGTGAATCGATTGTCTGCGCCGTCGGGTAGAGTATATCGATCAGACGGTGGTGCGTGCGGATCTCAAAGTGAAACCGAGCATCCTTGTGGACATGGGGAGACTTGAGAACACAATAAACTCTCTTCTTGGTGGGGAGAGGGACAGGTCCCATGGTTTTGGCGTTGGTGCTTCTGGCTGCCTCCAGGATCTGCTTGCATGAGTCCTCAATGAGAGGCACCCAATATGATCTTAGCTTGATCCTTATCTTGTGTTTTGGCGCCGCCAACTATTTTTAATCGAAATTTGATCATTAGAAAATCATGTTTGAAACAATTATTTTTTACACTTCAGTTTTAGAAACAAGAGATCATACATAAAAGCCAAAAATCATACATACATGCATACATACATACATACATACATACATACATACATACATATATATATATATATA